GAGGGGGAGGAGGAGGGAGAGTGAGGGGGAGGAGGGAGAGAGGAAGAGGAAGAGAGAGAGTGTAAGAGCTGTGAGTTGATTCTTACTCAATGCCAAGATGAGGGGGCAGAGAGATAGATAGACATTGACCGATTACAGTGGATGACTCTTAACAGGCTGTCGTATTCGGTTCACCAGTGTTTTGTTGAGGATTTTTGCATCTTATTTTCATATAAGATATTGGGCTGCAGTTTTCTTCTTTGCCTAGTTTTGGTATCATCAGGTTTATGTTTACTTCACAGACTGTTAGTGTTAGGGAATATTCCTTTTTTCTGTATCTTTTGGAAGAATTAAATAACATTTCTCTCTTGTTGTTAGGTGTCAGATGCCAGTGCTCTAAGTGTTTGGTAGAAAGCTCTAATGAAGCCACTTGACACAGGAATATTCTTTACTGGGAGGTATTTTTGATTAATGAATTGATCACTTCACTTGTTATGGTCTGCTGAGACTTTCTATTTTCTCTTGGGTCAGTTTGGGTGTGTTGTGTGCTTCTAAGCATCAACCCATTTCTTGTTGCTTCTCCAATTTGTTTTCATGCAATTGCTCAGTTTCACAATGCTTTTTCATTTAATCATATCAACATAATGTAAGTCTCAGAGGCACAGGCGCCCTGTTCAAGTAGCTCTATGTAACACAATTCCCATTGAGAGCTGACTTGGGGTAATTCTCAAGAACTCCACAAAACTGAATAATCAGGGCTCTTTAGAGATGCTGGAGTTACTAGGTGGTGTAACTAGTTAATGCACTGCTTGCTAATTGAAAGATTGGAGATTTGAGTCCCTCTGTGAAAACTAGGCTAGGTACTGATTGTGGAACTGACTACTACTATATATGTATATAACTACTATAACTACTACTATATATATATAACTTGCTACTACTCATATGCAAGTTCAAACTAAAGCTAAAGAAAATCAAAGCAAATACACAAAAACCAAAGTCTGATCTTGAGTTTATCCCACCAGAATTTAAAGACCATCTCAAGAACAGGTTTGAGTTCTTGAATACTAATGAGTGAAGATCAGATGAGCAGTGGGAGGATATCAAGACGATCATCCATGACGAATGCAAAATGACAGAGGAATACAAAGACAGAGGAGGAAGAAAAGACCAAGATGGATATCAGAAGAGACTCTGAATATTGCACTAGATCTCTGAAAAGCCAAAGAAAAGAGAAGAAAGTAAGAAATTAAGGAGCTAAACAGAATATTTCAAAGGGCATCTTGGGAAGACAAAGCGAAGCATTATAATGAAATGTGCAAAGAGCTAGAGTCGGAATATCAAAAGGAACAAACCTTCTCAGCATTTCTTAAGCTGAAGGAACTGAAGAACAAGTTCAGGCCTCCAGATGCAATTTTAAGGATGTTTAGGGAAGAATGTTGAATGACCCAGGAAGCATCAAAAGAAGATGGAAGGAGTACAAAATGTCACTATACCAGAAATAATTGGCTGACACAGGAGAGTTTCATGAGACAACATATGATCAAGAGCCTATGGTGATGAAGAAAGAAGTTCAAGCTGCTCTGAAGAAATTGGTAAAAGATAAGGCCCCAGGAATTGATGTCATAGCAGTTGGCATTTCAGTAAACAAATACTGCCCCGGGCACCTTCAACAGGTTGTGCCAAGATATCAGAGGACAACGAACTACCTGGCCAACTTCCTGGAAGATATCCTTATTTATTCCTAGTTCAAAAAAAGGTGACACGATAGAGTGTGGAAATTACTGAACAATATCACATGCAAGCAGGAATCTCTGGTGGCCTAGTGGCAAGAAGCTGCACTGCAATCCTGAAGGCATGCGATTCAGGGCTACCAGATACTCCGTGGGAGAAGGATGGGTAATCTCCTCCCGTACAATTAAGTGAAAAGAGCTATGGGTCTGTTCTGACTCTACAGTACACAACAACAACAACCATCACATGCAAGAAGATCCTGTTGAAGATTATCCAAAAACAGCTGGAACAGTACATCATCAAAGAATTGCCAGATGTGCGATGGGTTTAGAAGAGGCTGTGGCACTAGAGACATCAAAGATAGTGTTAAATAGATCTTGGCCAAAAGCAGAGAGTACCAGAGGAATGTTTATCTGCATTTTGTTGACTATACAAAGACTGTGTGGATCACAACAAATTTTGGCTAACCTTGAGAAGAAGGGAAATCTCAGAACACTTAATTGCGCTCATGTGAAACCTATACTTGGACCAGGAAGCAGTACTTAGGACAGGGCTCAAGATTAGGAAAGGTGTGTGTCAAGGATGCATCTTATCTCCATACCTTTTCAATATATATATATACAGAACAGATCATTCGGGAGGTTGGACATTATTAGGAGAAATGTGGCATCAGGATTGGAGGAAGACTTGAAAACCTGTATTATACAGATGATACAGCCTTGCTTGCTGAAACTAAGGAGGATATGTGGCATATGCTACAGAAGGTCAAGGGTTGTAGTCTTCAATATCGATTGAAGCTCAGGATCAAGAAAACAAAGATTCTCACCACTGAGCCAACTGGCAGCTTCATGACAGATCAAGAGATTGAAATTGTTAATAGCTTCAGCTGGCTTGGTTCCACAATCAACACTCTTGGCACCAGCAGTTAGTAAATCAAAAGATGAATTGCCATCAGAACAAGATAAAGTTAAATAATCCCACAGAAAAATGGGCACAGGATATGAACAGACACTTCACCAAAGAAGACATTCAGATGGTCAACAAACACATGAAGAAATGTTCAAAATCCCTAGATCAAAGAAAGATGCAAATCAAAACAACTATAAGCTATCATCTCACCCCAGACAGAATAGCAAAATTTAACAAAACAGCAAGCAACAAATGCTGGTGAGGTTGTGGAGAAACTGGAACCCTTATTCACTGTT